ACAGTCCTGAATTATGAATTGCGTTACAAGTTAATTTTTGAAACTAACAAAGTCTTTCATGATCACATTTAGAGCTGCTTTCACATAATTTCTTTTTTTCTTTTTATTTAAGATTTATTTATTATGTATGCATAGAAGAACTGGGGTGTAGGCCAGAGGTGTGTGTGGGGGTGGTGGTAATAGGATTCACCAGAGACAGAGTGGGGAACCGAACAGGCAGATCTACTGAAACACCCTGCTGGGAGGGGCGGTGAGTGAGACAAGAGAGGTCTGTGGCACATATATGGGTGAGCTCCCTGACAGGGATGGAACCCAGGCCATAGGGGTGATAACCCCTATACCACTAGGGAGGCCCCCACACAAGCTAGTAAAGAACACAATAATCAGGAGGAAATCATCCCGCTCATGGTTTTCAATGACACACTGACATTCTTAGCAGCTGCAGAAATGTGTTGTGGATGCTCTCTGGTGGTGCAACAGGTTAAAGCACAACACTATGAAGCTAGTGGAAGTGCTTTAGTATTGAGTTGGATCCTGGGCCAGAGAAGTGACACACATGGCGTGGCAGACCTCTCCTGACCTGCCCGCTGCTCCCCTCAGCAGTGTACTTCATCAATCTGCCTGTTCTGGTCTCCCCTCTATCTCTCGTGGATCCTCTCACCCCTGTACCTTTGGCCTGTACCCCAGTTCTCTATGCATAAATAAATAAATCTTTAAAAAGCAAGAAATGTGTTGTACTATCTGTCCCTATGTTGGGTGGCCCAGACAACTGCACTTCTGGATTTTTCCCTTTATTCTTGCAGCTATGATGTCCCTCCTTTGGGCAACTTTTGCTAAGTCTGTCAGGTGGACTTTGTCTCTCTGTTTCCTCTGACATGGTTCACACACCTTCTGAGCACTAATCATATTATCCTGTAATTCAGAGCTATATTTATGTATCATGCTCTTTAACTATATGTTCTTGGAGTACACATATATCTCTCAATTCCAAATATTTAGCACATGACTTGACTCCTAACCAGTGTGCAAAAAACACCAAAGTTAGTAAAAAGTTCATGGTGTGCAAGGACAAGGGAATCAAAGCTCCGGCCTTGCCAGGGTTATGTGGAGAGCAGAGCGCATTAGCAAATCAGCTGATGAGGGATTCTTCTAAGAAGACTTTGTCTTCTTGAACTGGCATCATCCTTCCAAGTTTTCAGTGCTATTTAGGGGAACGAAGTTGGCTCTGTATAGAAGTGCTCTCTATAACCTACTATTTTTTTTCACTGTCCATGCAAATGCCTAAGAAATCAGATTCCACAGCCTATTTCTTGTTCTTAGAATCAGAACCCTACAAGGAAACATCAGAATTGGAAAGAATCTTGAGAGCAAGGGAAGCATTCAAGGATAGCTTCTGTTCTTACAGAAATATATTTGCAAAGTGGATGGCCTATTTCCTACCTCACGTCATATACAGTTTGAGACCATGGTTTTTTTGTTTCCCATTTGTCTTTACATAGATACTTAGGGGGAAAAAAAGTGAGCAAGTGAATATCCACTCTTTCTACAATTTTAGATTGTGAATTTGCTACAATGCAGTTTCTATTCAAAGTTACTTTTTGTTTCAAGGGTTGGGAGTAGTACCTGGTATAAGATTAAAGTATAATCTTGGATTTAGAGCAACAGGTCATTTCAAAACTGTCTTCAGAGGTAAATTCAATAACAACCCTGGGTTGGGTGTTGTCTGCGGACCTTGCTAACACTCATGATTTGTCTACAGAGAAGCAACCCTCTTTTGTGATTTGAGCTTAACTTTGGCTTATTTACCAACATTGAAGACTAACTTCACAAATGCAGTATCTCTAGTTACTGTGAAAATAACAGTGAAGCAAAAGTGGAACAGAGAGGAAAGTGCCTTATCTGAGACCCAAGATCTTCTAGGAAGGACCATCAGCGGCCTAACAACACACCAGCTACCAGAACACACTAGAACAAACACTTATCACCAGCAGTGAAGGCAGAGGGTCTCAGCAACTGACGCTCTTTTCCCAGGTTTGATTGTTTGGTTAAGTGAGGGGTTGAATGCATACTTAAGCTTTGCTTGTTTATTTTGGAAGGCAATCTCTATATAAATAAACTGTAGTCTTTGAACTCAATTTGATACCCCTTAACAAATGAGACCCCCAAAATCCAGGTATAGAAAATTATTTTTTAAAAAAATCATTAAAAATACTTCAACTTAACTGCAGGGGGACTTTCAAAGATCCATTATCTCATGTTTCAACAAATTACTTTCCTGTGAAGCTCTTTATAAAATGTGTGTGCTTGTGTAGAAAGACTACCAATCACATTTGAGATCCTCCAATTCCTTAGAGAGTTGAAGAACCAATAAAAAATATTTCAAAAAGTATGAAGTTTCCTCAAAAAAAAAAAAAAAAGAATAGAAATGCCATATGAGCCAGCTCTGGGTATATATCTGAAGAATTTGAAAACACTAACTTGTAAAGATATCAGCACCCCTGCATTTATTGCAGCATTATTCACAATGGCCAAGAACTGGAAATAACCTATGTGCCCATGGGCAGGTGAGTAGAATATGATATAAACTATGTACACCATGGAAACCTACTTGACTATAAAGGAGAATGAATTTTTTCCACTTGCAACAACATGGATGCAACTAGAGGGGATAATGCTAAGTGAAATAAATCAGGTGGAGAAAGACAAACAATGTATGATTTTATCCATGAGGAAGATAAAATAATAAAACCAACGAACAAGCAAAACAAAACAGTGACAAACAGATTCTGAGAATGGGATGGTGGTTATCAGAAGGTAATTAGAAGGTGGGTGTGGGTGAAATGGGAAATGGAGGTCACTGGTACTGGGTGGGTGGAACAAGACTTTGGGGGAGCATCATGTCTAATGATGTATATTGAACACTTATATAAAGTTAAAATCATATTACTGAATACAATTTTTTAAAGTAGAAAATGAATTGATACAAGGATAGCAAAATCCAGTAAGAAGGGCAAAATGATCACAACTAGATCCTTTACTCAGCTGAGGCCACCAACCATCAATACATTTTCAACATATGCAAACAGAAGAGCAGTTTTAGAATCACATAAGAAGCTGTTTCCACACTTCCTATGAAGACATTTTATGCTTTAGAATAAGTGATGATGAATATGCAGCAATTACCTGGAGCCTATTTCATTGCTCTAGACTCAGTAGTTATACTTCTGAACATCACAGGTTTAATTTGCAAGTTTTGTAGTTGCCTGTGGTTGTAAATAGAAGACTGTGTCCACAGCATAATCTCAGCAAATGTGCTCCAGGACTTGGGTCTCTAAAGTGGGCTGACCTTGTGGTCATTTGGTTTTGTTTATTTATTTATTTTTAAGTAACTATAGAAATGATTTTTTCTGCTTCAGCCTAAGTTATTCCCAATCTTTAAATTTTCCCCAAGTTTTCCAAGTAATACAGAACTTGTTCCACAGGAAAAAGAACTCATATTGCTCTTTGAGATCAGTTTCTTTGAGACAGCATTTATCTTTGGGCTGCTCAGGGCTAATAACTACCTAATTCCGTAAAAAAGATGCCCTGGGACTAAAGAGGACTGTAGAGAGAAGAGGACCCGGTCTCGCATCCAGTCCACCCATGATCATGTCTCAAAAGGGCCCTCAACTCACACAACCAAAGATTCATCACACTCACTGAGGGTCAACTGTCACAGAGTCCTAAATGCAGGACCCCTAGGGAAGATGTGCTTACAGGGTTCCAGCTTTCATATCTAAGATGAGACATTGGCTCTAGTTGACAGTCACATAGTTCTGGCGTGAGGAAACCTCACTGAAAACAGTTATCTAGTAAAATATAAAGTCTTGCAGAGAGGTGCCTATTCTTAAAATTAGAGCCCACTGTCTATGAGGCTCTGCTAAGAAGTTCTTATTCCCTATCAATCATTCTCTTTGGTCCAATTTATTTTCCTATATCCACAAGGACTTACAGGATTTGCAAGAAAGCTGTGGGTTTGGTAATGAGGTGGTATGTTCTTCACTTCCTCAGAATGTGTTTCTGTTTGGGGAGATATAAACCCCAACACAGCTGTTGCTGTTTTAGCAGACATGGATGTTGGGATAGCATTGTGAGAGAGCAGTGATGACTGTGAAATACGAATACAATTTGCTTTCGGAGGATGTCTACTTTGAGACAGTTATTCAATACTATTGATCATGACTTATGGTTGGGTGTAGTGAAAAGAACTACAATAAATAAAAGAAGCTAGCATTCACTGAATTTTTCATAGCTGTAAGTATACAGCAATATTTACAGTTACATTTGTTTGAACATGCCATTTTTATATGTTTCTTTTAGGGGGCTGGGGATAGTCCTTTTGTGGCTGAAATGGATTTTAGGTCATATTTCTATGTTTGTGTCTTATTCTTAACTCTTTTCTATAGCTGTTTCTATAACTGTCATATCTAATCTCTCAGAAAGCCCCACTCCCAATATCTCAGAGTCCCTTTGTGTTAAAGGCAGCATACACACATCTATGTGAAAATTAACAGCAGTACAAGGGATACCCATAGAAAATTGTATCCTAGTGAAATAGGAAAAAAAAAAATCGGTATTGTATGTAAAATTCAGCTTCTTTTAGAGGGCAGATTTCTTTGGGGTTTATTAGCACTGATAATTGACTAGTTCTTTAACTGGACAGGTTTTTGGCATCATCAAGCACAGCAGTGAGTAAACAATGCAAATGAATGAATCCCAAGCCTCACAATCACCAGGCTGACTGCCTCTTCCTCCAAACCTTCCACCGCCTTCCGACATTCTCAGGCAAAATTCTCTCTCAGAGGCTAAGCTTATCTCCACATTCTTTCTAGTCTAGCACCATAGATGGACTCAAGTTATGACACTGTTATAATAAATATTCAAAATGAATCACCAGTTGATTACAAAGACAAAGGAAATCATCACTCACTAATCAACCCCAACCACAGTCAGAAATTTACCTTAGTTCCTTGAAGGGGTCTGCCCTGATATTAGGCGTCTCTATAGATTTGGGGAACACTGTGCCCTCCGCTCCTGTAAACAAAACACAAAAGCAACAGAGGTTGGAGACATTGGAAGTGTCACCTAGGGCACAAGCAGCCATGAGCGAGCTGAATGCAGGGAATATTTTCCACAGCCCATTATGCACACACTTTGCCACTGGCTTTAATTGGGTGAGAGGATAGAGTGGAATCAATTCATGCAAACAGCCTTTGAAAAAACAGGAACTTATTTGGGAAGGGTTCCTGCTGAGTCCAGAGTGAGGCCAGAAGGCAAATTCAATATTGGATTAAAAAAAAAAAATGTTTACCATGTGACTCTGGTCTCTCACCCCCTGTTGAAGGTCACCCAACTGGAAATATTTTGAAAAAAGCCTCGTGAACCCTCTGATTATAGGGCAGGGTGCAAATCATGTGACCCAGCCGTCACTGAAGAAGTAGTTTTGGGGCCCTCCCTGGTGGTGTTAGGGGTTAGAGCGCAGCACTATGAAGCTATCCGCAGCCAATGCAGCACTAGTTCAATCCCTGGCCAGGGAGTTGACCCACATGACACAGCAGACCTCTCCTGTCCCTCCCACTGCTCTCCTCAGCAGTGTATTTCAGTAGATCTGCCTGTTCTGTTCCCCACTCTGTCTCTGATGAATCCTCTCACCCTCGACATGTCAGTTCCATATTCATGAATAAATAGATCTTTAAAATAAGTAGTAGTTTTGATGGCAGAAAACCCGTGAAGTTGTAAGTTATTCATCCGTGACACTTAGGCAAAAGTTTTTCAGCAAATCAAATTCCATGTCATTATCTTGAAAAGTTAGACTTCACAAAGGCAATGAGAGATCATCTGAAGTTCAGCACTTTTACACTCTGAATATTAACATTGATCCCTGGCCCAATCTAGACATTTAGCTCTTGACTTTGCTATAAGCTTTTATCTTTACAACTTGTCAATGCCAGCTGAACCTTTCCAGCCATAAAGATTGTGATAATCTGATTTGTCTGTTCCAAGTGTTTTCAAATCATTTAAGTCTCAGTTTATCACAGACAGTTGCACTGGATATTAGTTTTTCAATTAAACTTAGGTAGGCAACATCCTGTACTTTGAAGTAAAGGTGTTTATTTTTATATATTTGGTGCAGTTCCCTGATGCTGTGAAAAGAGGCATAAGGATTGCTCACATTCACGTGTGAATTTCTAGAATCCTATTACATTATTAAAATGCCTAGAAATCTTCCATTCACCACTGTTATTTTAAATCCAGATTTATTCTAGCATACGAGGAGTCTGGGAAAATGAATTAGTTTCTTTTGTAACCACTGTAGGGACATTTAATCTTTTGATATGAGTAAAAGACTTGCAAATAAAATCAGGAAATAATGCCTTGACTTAACATTATATATGGTCATTAAAGTAATACCCTGGTGAATAACTACTATTATTCCAAGCTAACATTCTGAGTGACATGCTAGATGCCATCATAGATATATTTCATGTATACTAGCACATTTATTCCTGGCAAGAATCCCATAAATTTGACAGTTGCAATAGACACAGAGGTACTAAGTATGGGGGATATTTAAGATCTTTCTCTAACCACAGATAATTTTACTTTTCAAGACCCCAATCCACATCATTTCAGATATATTAAAATGTACCCATACTCTCCATTGAATACTTTTTTTGATTTAAATTTCCTAAGAATGTTTATAGTTTTATGATGCTTACATTCTATATTCGGAGCTTGTGATTTAACTTTTATCAAATTCTCTGTAACTGTGATGGTTCACTTGATTCGTCAACTTGGTTGGACCATGGAGTGCCCAGTTATTTGAATAAATATTATTTCTGGGTATTTCTAGCACAGATGATGTTAGTATTGGAATGTGTGGACTCAGTAAAGCAGTACCCACTCCCTGCCTATGTGAGCGGGCAACCTATTGAAGTCCTCAACAGAATAAAAAGTTAAAGGAAGGAAAAACTGGGACTTTTTGTCGGATTGCTTGAACAACTGGGATGTCAGTTTTCTCTTATTCCTCAGCACCTCTGGTTTTCAGATTTTCAGATTAAAATGAATTAGCCAACAGCCTTCTCAGCACCTAGCACACCACCTTGCATACAACAGATGGTGGGATTTCTCAGCCTCCATGATGGCATGAGTCAATTTCCTGTATAAGTCTCTTCCTATATATAGATCCTGGAAGTTCTGTTTCTCTAGAGAATCCTAATAAAAGAACATGGTGATAGTTTATAATGTATTCTTTGTTAAACATTTTAAATTGGTTTTGCAGGGGATTCATTCCCTATCTCCAACACTTTTATGGTCCAATGGGCCAAAGGCACTGATGAGGCAGCTACATGGGACACGGCCTGCAGAAGCCACAAGGGAGCACACAGGGAGGTGGGCTGTCACTGAGACCCAATCGCATGCCCTCAGCCACTTCTCAGCACCACCTCAATGTGCTACTGAAGGACTGCACCTGCCATCTTTTATTTTTTTTAAAGATTTATTTATTTATGCATACAAAACTGGGTATAGGCCAGAGGTGTAGGGGCAGTGAGAGGCTTCACCAGAGACAGAGTGGGGAGCAGAACAGGCCAACTGACAAAGTACACTGCTAAGGGGAGCAGCAGGCAGGTCAGGAGAGGTCTGCGATGCCATGTGGATCACCTCCTGGGTGGGGATTGAACTAATGCTGAAGTGGCTTTAGCATCTTAGTGCTGTGCTTTAACCCACTGGCCACCAGGGAGGGCCCCACCTACCATCTTAACAGCCATATGCAATTAAGAGGGACTTCCCTGGCACAACCTTAGGGATGCTTAGGTTTTAGTCACTTGAACCCTATTTTTAAAAAAAATTATGAAAAGCCATAACTACATATGTCAGTAAAGCAGGGGCAGTTATTTCTACTTATTTACATTATTTACACTCTGTAGCCAGCTAATTCATGATAGTTGGAGTAGAAAGCACATCATCTCTTCAAGTTGGACTAACTACCCATGGCCAGTCTTCACGACTTGGGGTGTTTGGAGCTGTTGAACCTCAAGATTCACCTGTTTCCCACTCCAACCCTCACTTTATAAGGCCTCTGAAATTTAGACAACATCATCTTGCAAGTTTCGACCTGAAAAACATGTGTACACATTGGGACAGATATTAAGTTTAATTGGATCCTGCTCCAAAAGTAAGAAGTGATAGTTTCTTGTGTAAAACTAGCCACCAAATCTGTGGGTTGTTTTTGGTATTTCAGCCATGCTTATGCTAGCCTGTTTCTTTATTTCTCAGAGCTGAACCTCTTGTGCCACTTTATTTACACTTCTAGCTGATTGGGACTTAAGAGTAACCGCTCTGCTGGGATTGGTGGCCCTGAACTCTCCATGCTTCTAGGCAATTCCAAGGGGGAAATGGAATATTCTGGCACATACATACAGGTACTCACTAAGTATTTGTGGAACAAGCACAGTCTGCTCTGAACCTGAGTTTGGGTGCTCAGCTGGCTCAGCAGTACTCCTGGATCCAGCTATGTCTTGTCTTTCCCTCTGGGGATCTCCATTGCTTAGCACAGTGTGGACACTCATTGTGAAATGACTCCACACCCACTGGTCACAGCATGTACCAGCTGGGCTTCTCTTTGACCTTGCAGACATTCATTTCGCTCCTCCAACTAGATCTTAAGCTCTGAATAGGTAGGGACAATGGTATCTATGAAATACAGCTAAATTTGACTCTGGCTTCTACCAGACTCATTTCCAATGTCCCTGCCACTTACTCAGAAGTACTAATTTATTGTTACAAAACTCCTCATGCATTTCATTTTTAATGAAAATAACAATTCAACACATTTTAGTTCCACCTTGAAATATAAGAGTTGTACTAATGAAGGCATGCCACTTGGGCTAAATACAAATACTCTTTAAAGGACAACGAGATCAAAAGGCTGTGTTCACCTCCCCTACCCAGTTATTCATGTAGCCACAGATGAAAGGACAGGGACTATGAGCACAAGCTCACGGTCACATGGCCAGCGAGTGTGAGAGCAGATTCTCATCCAGGGGTCTGATGCCAGAGCCCACATGCAGTCACTATGCCCTGGAGTCTTGTTTTGGAGTTGGAGTCAGTGTGTACCTGCTAAATGGTAAGCCAGGGGCTGGGCCCTGACAGGTAGAGCAGATGGCCGATTTAGAACCAGTGGGTGAAGGATGAAAGTGGAGGACAAGACCTTTCTGCCCCTCACTCTTACTGTCCAGCTGGAACCGGACTACAACTGTCCCATCCATCGTAGAGGGCAGAGTCCTAAGTACCATTTTTCAGGGGAAGATATCAGCACCTTTCACTAGTCAAAGCAAACCTGGGCATGACACCCAATCTTTCTGATGCTGTTTACTTCTGTGACAAGAAAGGATATTGACAATACTTTAATCAAGGAGGGATTCTAGGAGATGTAATGAAGTCTCTAAAGCATTGTAATCAGAGCTACAATAAATAAGATATAACTACTAGCACCAACATGTATATGAATTCCATTCTCCCCTTATCCAGCTCCACTATAATGCTAGAAAATACTACTTTAAAATACTTACTATGAATTAGAAACAATTGCAACTTTTTATTTGATCACCAGAATAATTCAATTGCTAGGTACTATTAGCATTTATTAGAAATAGCGTGAAATTTGAGACTCAGAGTAGTCAGGAAATGCTCCTATGATCACACAGCTAAGAGGGAGAGTTAGGACTTGAACCCTGATCTCTTAGCTGTAGAGCTAAGCCCTTGACCACTGATCTAGACCATCTTTGTGCAGATTAAGTTTTTCTCTATGTCCTCATCTTTTTATGAGCTGTCAAAAGTACAGTGCTGATACACACAAGTAATATTTGCTAAATCCCCCACTTGCCTCCTTCCCTTCTAGAAGCAATTCACATGTTCCATGGGATATTAATACTTTCCAGAAAGACCATTTCTTTCCAAGTCCTATTCTGGTGTTCATACCATTTTTCACATTCGCAGAAGCTGCAGCACAGACAACCATCCATCAGGATGAA